ATTTCCATTTAAAGTGTTGACCCAAAAAATTGTCAAATAAAATAATACATCGCAGTGTTTCCGCCAGACAGCACCATTGTGGGAATCCCGCATTGCCATCAGAGATGGGGCCCCAGAAAAACAAAAACGGGCCAATTTAGCCCTTTTCTTTTACAAGGCTGCAGGCTTAACATAGGCATAGTATTTTAAAAGCCATCCCATGGCTCGAAATTGCAGCCAATGCAACTAACATTTCATCCTTGGCATGCATCGGCAAGTCGCTTGTGAGATGTTTATTGTTTGAAGCGTTCCGACCTTGTCGAGAAAATGATATCTCCCGTATCTGACACATGAACCGTTCATTCAAATAGTAAAATCCTCTTTCCCTGACAAAAGAATTGTTTATTGAAGTTTCTATGGTACGCTGCTCACATTTTGTTATTTTTAATTTTCTTTGAGGAAAAGTTGTGTGTTTCGGCACACTTTTCCAAGTCGCTTGCTTGGACGGTGTTTACTTGTGTCGAGAAAATGTTATCTTTCAGTTGTGATGTTTGCTCCATGAAGATGGGATTGTTGAAGCATGTGTCCCTCGTTCTATTTGACAAAAAAAGAAAAAAAAAAAAAAAACAGTAAATATTCAGTCTGTTAATTTTCAGTCAAGTGCCCAATGGCAAAATGTTAGTTTCAGCTAACATTTTGCTAAGAAGTCTAGTCTGAAGGCATACGCGCGTATACTGTATATGCATATTCAAAATAAAGAAAACTCTTTCTCACTCTGTGGCAAGCTGTCAAGCCATTGAAAACAACAATGACCTGTTGAGAAAAGAAAAAACAATAGGTTAGCTCATACATACTAATCAGGCATACGTGGATATACATGTACTGTATACGGGTATGTGCGTGTATGCACATGTATATACACATATTGGGCTGACACCAATTACGCATATATTTTGGTTGGGATATATCTGAGCTGCACTGTAGTTGCTATAATGGCAACTACATTTCTCTGTGCTGACAATCAATAAGGGTTATGTTCTCAAACATTATGTCCTTCTAGAAAACCCTATTGAAAGATCTTTGTTTCTAAAACATTCAACATAAGAAAAGAAGTCAATCCATTGGAAAACTTCCAAATGGCTGACCATGTTTGAACTGCCCTATAATGCATTGCAAACCCTTGATCATTGACTACGTCATGTATGCCTATGGATTGTTCTCTTCTAATGCTCAGATCATCTGGCAACCAAAAATTTGCATAAATTTGGCTATTTTTATCAATTGTTATTATTGTCCCCTTTCCTAAAAAATTGGCCCCTAAAAAGGTCTTCATGGGCCACTTTGACCCTCAAGTAAAATTTTCTGGCTGAAACACTGCATCGTAACATCCCAAAATTAATGACTGCCCAAAAAATATGGACCAGAAATAGTTTTGACTTGCTGGGAAGTTGTGTATGTAACAGAGGGGAAATGTGGACATAGGGACGATAGTTTTAATACTCTAGATCTTCTGAAGTAAATTCTCTTCAACCTTAACCTGTCTTTTTTCGACTAAGGCTGCTGTTGTTGGAGAACTCTTGTTCTTGGATGATGACAGCTTACTGGAGAAAATGCCGCTAGTTAAAGAGGATGAAAAAGACGATGCAGGCCCCCTTCCTGTTAAAGTCCACATTGATGCAACAACTTTGTGATGGAGATAATCTTTGCAGACTACACCTACATGTGGACTGGCCAATGGACATTTGACTGCATGATTGCCTTTCTGACACACATCTCTCTGTAGCAGACACCTCTCTTGGGCAGACAATGTTTTATTGTAGACACCTGTTTACATGTAAAACAGACATCTGTGTATTACGGCACACAACTCTCTAATGTGTAATGTGGATACCTCTTGAAAAGAGGGATCTTCATCAGCTGATCTTTCAGTGTCTGCTGTTCAGTATTCTTCATGGACACACACACACTCGCTTGAAAACTGAGTTATCCATTCTACCTCACACTATGAAGTAGAGAGAAATTACACAAGTCCACTCTTGGTTTGTAATTTTCGAGTCAGTATATTAAGTTTTTTTTTTGTTTTTTTTTTTGGAGTAAAGTTGTTTATCTACCAAATGTANTGCAGGCCCCCTTCCTGTTAAAGTCCACATTGATGCAACAACTTTGTGATGGAGATAATCTTTGCAGACTGCACCTACATGTGGACTGGCCAACGGACATTTGACTGCATGCTTGCCTTTCTGACGCACATCTCTCTGTAGCAGACACCTCTCTCGGGCAGACAATTTTTATTTTATTGTAGACACCTGTTTACAAGTAAAACAGACATCTGTGTATAACGGCACACAACTCTCTAATGTGTAATGTGGATCCCTCTTGAAAAGAGGGATCTTCATCTGCTGATCTTTCAGTGTCTGCTGTTCAGTATTCTTCATGGGCACACACACACACTCGCTTGAAAACAGTTATGCATTCTATCTTACACTATGAAGTAGAGAGAAATTACACAAGTCCACTCTTGGTTTGTAATTTTCGAGTCAGTATATTAAGTTTTTTTTTTGTTTTTTTTTTTGGAGTAAAGTTGTTTATCTACCAAATGTATTTTTTTTTTTTTTTTTAAGTAGCATAGGATG